TCAGAGAGAGAGAGAGCTTTATCTAGTCCCCGGCCCTACAAAAAAATTATTTTATGACCTACTGACAATTAGATATAATTGGATTTGCCCTCTGGCTGACAGAAAATCTTTACGCAAAATATAACTAAAATTGTATATTCTAATTCAAAGAAAAACGTAAGTTTACACTTAAACACACTAGATAAGATGCATATCTCTCGTGTAGCATTAGATCAAAGTGAATAGATGATAAACAGTCATCCTTATGTGATTTTTGAATGGTTTGTACGCTTTGTTGGTCATACAGATGTTGACCTTCAGATCCACTCTACTATTTCGATTTCATGTTGTCCACTTTTCTTATTTGTAATACACTTTTACCTCCCCTCTCCGAAAAAACAACGTTCAATTTATTTAAACTGTAATATGTATATATATTTTTCACGCCCCTCCCCAAAATACTGTCGCACACAGTTTAAGACTTAACCAAGACTTCTAAAAACAACTGATTTCAGTTTTATAGTTGTAATAATCTTCTCGAAAATAAACTCCAAATAAACCTCCAAAAATGAGTCAAAAACGTACAAAAAATGTATATATATTTCCATATCAGCCTAATAAATTCCACTTAGTTCTATTAGAAGTGTCATAATTTGTTAATATTGAGATACTTTACAAAACTACAGAGCACTTACTTTTGTCGGCACTTTTTAATTGCAAGTGTTTTATTCAATTTTATTCAGTCTAATCAATTTTATTCAACCTAAAATCTAGATTGACAGAAGAATTACGTTTGTTAAGTTAGAAGAAAATTACCGTTAATAATTCCTTTTGGCAGAGATAGGTTTACGTACTTACAATAATAAAATTTGAAGTTCGATTCTCCACGGTGGCCACAACACCATTGTATAGCTTTATGACAAAACAACAATAACTCTCAAGTCTTTTCGTTTTGTTTGGCTGGACGTGGCTTAGCGGTTAACCACAAAATTGTCAACAAATTGGAAAGTTCAAGGTTCGAGCCGCGATATATGGCACTGAACACGCTCCGTACTTTCAGCAGTGGGACGTTATAAATAAGACAGTTAATCTCGTCATTTGGTTTGGAGCAGTCGCATTCGCTGTGGGTGCTGTTATCTGGTTGTTCACTCTCTTGTCAGTAGCTCAAAATCAATCTTAAGGGTCACTGAATAGGCCATGTAATATATGTGTGTTATAAGGTGTCGTTCGTGTTGAAAACACTAATTACCAATGCCTTTGAAACATTTGCTTAAACAAGCTCTAGTGCAGTATTTATCAACAAGATAACTGTCAAACATTTCATTAATTTTGCTTTTAAAGTGATAAATTATTGTTTCAATGGGAACATAAACTGTGGTATGTTTAATTAACATCCGGGTAAATACATCTGTACATCCAATGCTTGCCTATGAAGTTTGTTTAATCAATAAAACGCTGTTAATTTTCAAACTAGACCTGAGCCAAAATTTCACCTCTTTTTCCCTAAGTTCAGTCATAGTTTAAAGTGCATGCATATACATTATGGCCATCATTAATTAATGTGCAATTATTTTACTTTTTGGATGCCGTATATTGAAATTTAGTTTGAAAACTTTTAGTGTCTAAGGTTCATTTCATCTCTGTTGTTGCTTCATTCAGTGAATTCCGTTTATCCTTAATTTTTGCAATGTGAAAATGACTTTATTATTAATTAAATTCATTTGATCAGGGAATAGAATAGAAACTTTGAGTTTAAGAATTTCAGTAAATCATTTTCTCCAGAAGCGCAAAAACCACCGATGAATTTAACTGCCCTAATATCCCCCAAGCCCTTACCTTTAGTAAGAAAATATTATTTGGATTTTATTTGGATAGTTTGGTTTGTTTTGAATTTCGCGCAAAGCTACACGAAGGCTATCTGCGCTAGCCGTCCCTGATTTAGCAGTGTAAGACTAGAGGGAAGGCAGCTAGTCGTCACCACCCACCGCCAACTCTTGGGATACTCTTTTACCAACGAATAGTGGTATTGACCGTCACATTATAACGCCCCCACGGCTGAAAGGGCGAGCATGTTTGGTGTGACAGGGATTCGAACCCGCGACCCTCAGATTGCGAGTCGAGCGCCCTAACCACCTGGCCATGTTTATTTAGATAGAAAATCAAGGGAACAAGCTGAAAGAGATGTTGGATAAATAAATATTATAGATGAGAAAAGGGTTGTATTCAAACTGATGAAAAATGACATTAAGAACAGATGGAAAGAGTATTGTGAAAAAATGATGAAAGTAGAAAGTGAGAGAGGGTTTTTTGGAAGAAGTCAAAGGTTGGAGGTGAAT